GGTCCCATGAAGCTGTAAAGCTCAAGGGCAAGATTACATCAATGAAAACACTCTGGTTCTTTAAGAATCCAGTAGTAATACAACAAGAGAAAGTTTTCACCCAGGGAGAGACAAATTTCTTATCAGTTTAACTTATCTGAACCACTACTGTAAGAATTTGCTCATCTCATAGGATTATTGCCTCCCTCTGAGTCATGTGATAGTACCTATTAACCCCAAAAATAGTAGCAAGGTTGGAGTGTCTTTGTTTTTGCAAGCTCTGAGGCACTGACCTCCCAGCCTCCCATATACTTTGAAATTATGCAAGTCTATTGTCTTTTTTTTTTTTGATAGCCCTCATGGTTGCCCTTTCTAGTTGAAGGACTGAGTCAAGGTCAGATGGGCACAGAACTAGTCTGCTGTATGATGAAAATGGCATATTTGGGATTATGCTCAACCACATTGAGAAGAAATGAGTGAACTACTGGACTCCCGTATCACCAATGCTTTTTTCTTTCATGACCGAGAGAGAGAGAAAAAGGAATTCAGAATTAGTTGAAATGGACCTTTACTGCATTGTAGTCTTATGCAGGAGGACAGGTGAACAACCAGAACAGAATACTTGGTTATCTACTTCAAAAGAAGAAAAGGCCTGAGTTAGTCTGGACCCTGACTTCGTGGCTGTTTGATCAGAAGCCTACAACAATGAAAGATGATGTGGTAAGAAACTCTGGGAAAGGGGGTCGGGCAAAAATTAGGTGCATTTTTGTATCTTACATCAATGCCCATTGGGAAGTAGCACCAAAACATTAAATGTGTTGTCTAATGTTAGCAATGAGGTGTTTATGATGACTCATTTTCTGACCGTAGGCCAGACTTCCACATAGGCCAATACAGAGTGACACAATGGGCCTATAATAGAAGAGCCAAAATGTTTTCTTTCACCATTGTTGAAAAAGCTATTGTTAACTACCTAATGGCAGCAATGGAGACTGATTAACACCAAGCCATCAATACAGCACCTTTACATAAGGGAGACTAGTACATCACTGGATGCAAGGTTGATTACACTGGGTGTAGGTGTCAGTTATTTGTCTTTATAGAATACTTACTCTGGACATGGGTTTGGTTTCAAGTTCCCAATACCTTTGTTACCACTACCATCCCAGGGCTTAAAAATAACTTCTCCATCAACATGGCTTGATACCAAGCATTGTCTTATGCCAGCGTATCCATTTTATAACTAAGGGACTATGACAATGTACATATCACCTTTAATCCCTTAGTTTTAACATATATTCCCACAGTTGCCCATAGTAGAAAGATCTATTTAAAAAGTCAGGTGAGGAGCCGGGGATTTGGCTCAGTGGTTCCACTGCATGCCTCACAAGTGCAAGGGCCTGAGTTCAATCCCTGGTACCAAGAAAAGAAACAGGGGAAAGAAAGTCAGCTGAAGTGACATTACGAAGACAGCTCCCTACAGAGTTCGAACAATGCCCTCCAGGATGTGATATATATACTAAGGCAATGGCTGACATATGGTGCTGATATATGGTGTGTGTTACCAAGAGCCAAATACCTGATTCCAGGAACTAAAGGGTGAAAGTAGGGTTAAAAATTTGTTTCTCATCCATGAAAGTTTAGTCTCTACTACTTAAAGGTCCTGACTCCTAGCTAGGGTTGAGGTGTGATTTTTACTGGGAATTTAAGTTTCACTGAACCTCAAGCTCTAGCTACTGCCTAGATACTTTGGTCTCCTCACGTTCAAATAGAAAACTTCAAGAATAATGGCTCAACAAGAGCAAGGTAAGGGCTGAGATAACTGAGGGCTGCAATTCAGATTTTATCTTAGTAGGTAAGCAATTCCAACTGGCAAAATCTAGCCTCTGGTGAATGAAATCTAGAATGGATAGAAAGAGATGCTGAATATTATTAACAGCCTCAGAATCAGCTGCAGTAGAAAGGGAGGTAGTTTGTTTCTATAACTCTCTTTAAATCTTTCAGAGAATATGGCAGAGGTCCCCCCTGAAGGAGATTTAGTTATTAATTGTACTTATCTCTGATCTGAGGGAAGAAATGAGGACATCTTACTCTCACAAAAACAAAGGCCCCCATCCTGTAGTATGGAAGCTAAGTTTAATGTAGGGCATAAATGGATCAGAGCAGTAATGAATCACTTCAGATATTCTTGATCTCACTTGTGCCTAATTCCAACTCTCTCACCAGCACCAATTTCACAGAGATACAGTCTTCTGATCATTTTCTGCCTCAGGTGTTGCCTCACATTCTACTGCATTTATATTAACACTATTCTGCATTTGCTCTTGCACAACACTCCATAAGCTATGTGAGGCTATGGAGGAGTTACACACTGGAGGATGAATCTTTGGCCAATGAGAAAGAAACTAGGGACAAAATTATTCCTTCTTTCTCCCTTTGTAACACTTTCTTAAAACAGTTTATATGATTTCTCAGGGACAATCCTACAGGAATGAACAATAGCAGACAACTTGATAGTTTATCCATGTACTGTACTTGTTTTTCCCCTACCACACTATGTTCTTCTTGTATTGCACTCTGTTTTTTGGATTTTATTCTAGATCTCTGCTGCAGGCTTTTCTGGGGGGTAAGCTAGGCTGAGACAGATGTAATGGTCTGTCGTGCCTGTCTAAGAGGTTATTCCTCTAGAGCTCAAAGGTACTGCTAAGTGAAACCGCAGGCAGAAATCACACCATTCAGAGAAGGATACAGAATGGGAAGAGAAAAGGAACTATCCTTTGTTCTATGGCCCAAAGGGAAGACTGTGGAATGGCTAGAAGTAGGTGAAAAACTGGAGTGTAATATCGTCATTGTGAGGGAGTTTTAGCAGAGTTCACAGGTAATATATAGCTAATGAGTTGGTGCTTTTTAATTACTAAATTTCATTTGATTGTGACTGCTATGATATTACATATAATGTGTGTGTGTGTGTAGATATATATATGTATATATATATCTACACACACACACACACACACAGAATACTAAATAATATAAAATAAGTGGAGGAAATATTTTCAAACCTCATTCCTGAGGGGTAGTCCTAGGCAAGAGTGAAAGAATCAGTAATCAGTGACAAGAACTTTTCATCTGAGCCTCACTGGAGGCCGAATCAGTAGTGGATATAGACTGAGAAAAGGATGATTTGGCTTGCTGAGTTAGTATGTTAAGGAATTCTACCTTCTGAAGTTTGCTTTTGGATTAAAAAGAGTGTTTGATATCCAAAATTTTAAAAGGCTCACAAAACAAGCTTTTGTAAGGGAAGTTTGTAGAAAAAATATAAAAACAAAAAGGAAAGGAAAAAAATCTAAGAAAGCTCAGAATCCTGAGTAAAGCACATGTGGGGAAAATTAATTTTATATATCTATTAGTTACAGGATTTACATTTTAAAATTAAGTTTACAATTATTTTGTTCTTCAATTCATTACAACTTCTTTATTTTAGGGTTGGGGATGTAGCTCAGTGGCACCACAACTGCCTCGCAAGCTCAAGGTCCCCAGTACCAAAAAACAAAAGAACCCCCCCCCAAAAAAAACCAAATACTAAAAACAAAAACTTCTTTATTTACATCAATATAAACAAATAAAAAAGTTATGCTTGATTTTCATCCCAATTTCCTGTCTGCTTCAGTTAATATTCCTACTCCTATTGTTAGTAATCAGTACAGCAATACCCTAGGTCTTTATTTTTTAAATGTATTCATATTTTCTTATTCCTAGACAGGTTTTATTTGTGTAGTATGCATTATACATGTCACATTTAAGTCCAAAGTTGTAATTAGCAATATAAAAGTCAGGGACTAAAATCATGCACAATAGGGGACTTCAATTTAAATCACGAAGCAATGTTTATTCTTAAAGTAATTAAATAAGAAATGTTCTTAAATGTGTCACTACAGTAGTAAACATGTTTCAGAAGTCCCAAGTGGAGAATTTTATTTACTGTCACTGCTTTTAGTAATTAAAACCAGGATATATTTAATGTATTCCGCTCATATTTCCTTGTGTTGTACAATTGCACAGCGCCTTTCAAAAATTACAGCATACACCTTGAGTACGACGTAACTCCAAAACAAGACTGAATGGATACTACCTATCAGAAATGCTGGGGGCCTGCTCCAGCTACATTAACATTAGATCAAAGTGGGTTCCTCTAATGAAGCTGGGTCTTCTTTTAAATAACAATAATAGAGTCACTGGAGCCCTACTCAAGGTGGTGCCACAGTCTCCATATACCAAGCTTTCCAATCTCAATTCTTTGATTCATTATCAGGTAGCTGGCTAGTATTCCAAAAATTCCAATTAACTTTGACAACATCTGCTTGCCAACACACAGTGGGTATTGGTCTTCATGTAATGCTTCAAAATGCCCACTGATACACAGGGTTAAGACTTGCGTGGTTTAAAATTTAGCATAAAAACCACAGCACTTTTACAAACAGACCTTTCTCTAAAACATTCCCTAAAATGTCAGTAGCAAGGGATTTATACGATAGCCTCTAGGTGTTCCAAATTTTCAATGCTTGCTTCCTCAGACTAGTGACCTGCCTAATAATAAGTCAGTCTCTAAGGATTTAAATATCTACCTATACTGATGCAAGTCAACAAGAGAAAGAGCAAGGAAGAACAGGAAAACAAACAAACAAACACAAAAAACAACCTTGTGAGGATGAACTGGCAGGAAATGACTTGAGGACACTTTTTTCCTTTTCTTAAATTGTAGTCAAACAGTAACTCAGAACTTCACAGCAATTTAAAATCTGAAAAATATTCTTCTAAAAGTGAAATTTCTAAGCAGTATAAAATTAGACCAAAACATTAGGGTTGATTTTTAAAAATATATCATCATCTTACCTGACAGCTCGTATTTCACAGCATTGACAGATTATTTGTCTGGCATAATCTTTGACTACTTCCTTTCTTTAAAGAAACACAATTTTCTCTCTGGTGTTCAAAGACTTGTTCACACAGTATGAATTTGGGTCTGGTTATGGACTCTGAGGTGGAAATGATAACAGGGAAGTAAACCAAAGTGTCTTGACTTATTAGGCATTTATTTTTTAAAAATCTAGAATTAATAAATACAGCATCTCTAAGTGCCACTGGTAACTTACTCAGACAAACTGTTGCTATCACAGGTAGGTTTCACAGCCATGGTAGATCAACCTCGATCGGTTAAACACAGAATGAGCTAATCATCGAGATTACTATGGTACTTCAGCTACATCTGGGAGACATGGTGGGAAATACAACGCATTTTGGCTGAAGTTTGTTAAATCTACTTAAACAAAAGAAGAGTAAAATTTACCTTTCCATTTTCAAAAGCTAATGTCACTGAAAAAGGCTGTAAACTCTTTTGATAGGAGGGATAAAATAGGCTGGAGAATACTGTGTATAACAATACTAGGCTGTAACACAGTGTATAATTCATTCCAAGTCTTCTGAGATACTACTTCATAATCCCATGAGGTTCTAGAGGCTTTACATTGCTAGCTCTCACCAGAGCTCATTTAAAATTTATTACTAATCACTTCTTGGCCTTTTGGCTAAGATCAAGTGTAAAATTTACTAGTACTCTGGGAGGTTGAGGTAGGAGGATTTCAAATTCAAGTCTAGTCTAGACAATTTAATGACTTTCTGAGACCCTATGTCAAATTAAACATTAAATAAGGTCAGGAACTGTAGCTCAGGGCCAAAGTCCTGGCTTCAATCTCAGTACAATAAACCACAAAGAAACACCTTCCCCCTTCAAATTTCATTTCTCAGGTCTAACTTCATTGAAATATTCATCTATGCTGGGTGTGGGGGCACATACCTGTAATCCCAGCACTTGGGAGGCAGAGGCAGGAGAATCAGCATGCATTTGAGGACAGCCTGGGCTACATAATGAGTTCAAGGCCAACCTGAACTGAACTACATATAAAGACCCTGTATCAAACAATAAAGAAATATACACCTATGAGAATTCCCAGCATAATTCCATGATTTCGACCTGGACGGGAAGGGCGCCTCATGGCCTGGCAGCATCTCCTAGTGTAAGTGCTATGACAAACCCTGTACCAATATTTGTGTTCCCATAATCTTAGCTCAGAGACAGGGAAATATGGTGCTCTTAAAATGTCTTTTGAATTAGAATGACTATACAGACAATTTAAGACTGAATTAATAGTCTATCCCTCAGAGTTCCAACTTGACCATTTCCAGTAACTGATATCTGCAGTAAGAGAATGCTTTAAACCTGTCAATTTCATAGCATCTGAATTCTTCTTATACTGATCAAATAAGTGGTCAGTTGTTCAGAATGAAGGCAAAATTCTTCCAAAATGCAAAGATGCAGGACCATTCCTTTGGTAACAACATACACACAATTTAAGGCAAATCAAAATCATTGTCATGAGACAAGAATCAACAGGTTGTAGAAATCCAAAGGAGGAAGAGAGTCTGAATGAAGAAACAAGCAAGGCTATACAGAAACAGTATGTTCAATCTTATCCTTCATAGTGATTTTGGAACTCAAGGGTTTCTTCATTTTCTGAACTTCTATAGCACTTGTGATTTATACTACTTCTTTCACTCTTAGTGATGAAGACGGTGAATGGAAGCTGCTTGTGTTTACTGAGTGCTCACTATATGCAAGAGGCTCTTATAATTAGCATTTTACATGTATTAATATATGTAACTCTTATAATATGTTCCCAATAAGCACTAATATATGTAACTATTAAGATATTCACAGATTAGCAAACCATGGCACAGAGAAATTATTTTAGAAAAGTAACAGGTTAGTTGTGTGGTTGGCAAATGAAACATATTCATGGGACAGTCAAAAGGGTCAGTTTTATGTAGCATGGTCAAGGAAGATTTTACTTATATGTTAACACCTGAATGAGACTTGGAAAAAAAGAACCAGATATGAAAAGAAAAACCTCGTATTTTGAGAAGTTGAAAAGAAGGCCAACATGGCTAGAGGGCAGTGAAAGGGAGGAAAAGTAGCAGAATGTAAGGCTGCAGAGACAGGCAGAAGCCAGATCATAATGGCCTGTGGGCCTGAATAAGGGTTCTTTTTGTAATGATTAATTTTTACATTATGCAATTCTTATTTCTGTTCTCCATAGTAAGAGTGTCAATGGCAGAAATTATCTCTTACATTTTTTAATCTTTGTAGCATCTAGCCCACAATATTATGCAAAGTACTCCGGAAAGCATTTACTATTTGAGATAAAAGATGGGGTGAATATAACTGTGTACAAAAACGAAAAGGTATTATGTAGAAGATGCAACTGGCATGTCAGTTCCTGTGGCATGTCAGGTTTATGGCTGTGGAGCAGAAATTTTTTAAAACTTCTAATAAAAACAACATGGAATCAAGGGAAACAAGATTTTGCTTTGGAGAGGATGATAGAATCTTCAAAAGAAAAAAAATTTCTCTGTGTCAAACAAAACTCTAAATCAAGATATAATTAGTACTATACACAATATCCTTTAAAAGGAAAAATGTCCTCAAATTATCTTCCAAATGACAATGCTCTTGTGTTTTGCACAATAGATGCTACAATGTATGAATCGTTAAGAAAACAAGACTAAAAATGCCCAGTGAAAGAAAAATACTGTTAACTAATAAAATGTGAAAATGTGATCCTAGCAAAAGGAAATAGCCATGTAATAGTGGAATACTGGAATGCAATGGGCATTGGAGTCCTTAAGTCCACAGTTAGGATGCTAGTTTAGCTAGTGTGGTCTAATGCCTCAAAAATTAAGGTTTAATATTATGTGCTACCTTGACATTGGCAAAAGTGGCAAGGCGCCTGAAAAACCAATCAATTCCATTTTTTACTTTTAGCCCTGTAGAAAAGGGATCCAGGCTAAACAGTCTTCCTTATCAAAGGGTAGAGGTGCAGTTCCTGCTTATCTTGGAACAGGTTTCAGTTCCCTGCTTGCTTGAGGAATTATTTAAACAAATCTATCACAATCTGCTTTGGGAGGGAGGGAAAATCATCCTTCTTCTTCTATTTTTTTTTTTTTTTTGCAGTACTGGGAATTGACACAGGAATTGAACCCTTCTCACTGGCCTACATTCCCAGCCCTTTTTTTGGAGACAAGGTCTCCTAAATTGCTAAGGCTAGGCTTGAACTTCAGTCCTCCTGCCTCAGCCTCCCAGGGTGCTAAGATGACAGATGTGTTCCACCACACCCAGATCTCACTTTCTTAGTACTCTCAATGCCTCTAAGCCCTTTACTCTGTTCCCAAGCACAGCCTCTGTGTGACTGAGTATGTGGTGTCCTCCACTGAGCTATGTGAGTATATATGACTAATACACTACTGTCGATCTCATTAGATATTGTATATTCAGTGATCACTAGAACCTATAGTACGAATCTTTCTTCTACCATCAGAGCGAAGAGCAAGTGATCAATACATGCAATTCTGGAATATGTGAATCAGATCTCATGTTTAACTTTTATTCCCAGGAGTTTTATTCTGTAAACCAAGATGGACAACATTTACTTTTCAGGTTAAGTATTGTGTCTCAGTACTATTCTGTGTGCTGTGTCTAGCAGTGTTAGCACCAGACTCACAGGTGATTCTGCTAGTACCATCCTTATCCTACTACTTTCCCATATTGTAACTATTACTATTATTTTAAAACCTGTAAAATTAAAACTGATTAACAGAATTTAAGTACATCAGGGAAGTATAAGTGGAAGATTGACCAAATTTGGTTTTAAAAGCCATCCTTCTTATTTTATCAGAAATAATTCTAGTCACCACAAAACAACTATAAGGAGAATTTACGTAAGTTTTGGGCAAACAATTTAGGCAGACATGAAATCAAGACTGCTTTCAAGATACCAGAACAGTACTTTGGGTCTATGAATCTGGAAACAGAAACGATGAACTAATTTATATGATAAAAGTCCTCCTGGTAAAATAACATACAGCGTCCAAATGCTTTATTCTTAAATTTAAAAGCTGGTTGTTTTAGATAAAGGCAAGGAGGGCAATTGAACTAATAAAGCTTTACTCTGGGAAAATTTCCTTGCTTTCAATTTTTTTCATTCTCACATCTCAAAAGCAACTACTTATTTAAATACATACCTAACACACCTATGTTTCCTGAACTCAATGGTATTATCCTTATGATTTATCAATTTTTACACAATTACCTAATTTATACAAATTTATATATTCATTTGGAGATGAGGGAAATTATACAGAATCTTAAACATACTCATTTTGAATTGAAAATTTGGAACTATAAAAAATGAGGTGGGAAAGGAGACAAACAATATAGTAGAGACCCCTCTGGATCATTCCAGAGCATCTTTTGTTTTGTTTTTTCAGTGTGGGGCTCAAATCCAGGGCCCTACACATGGTAGGCAGGTACTGTGCAGACTTCCAGACCCTAGAATATCTTTTTTGTACTTAACTTTCATTGACTTTAGATTTTTGGTAGACCCGATGCATAACTGTGTCATTGTTTGAATGAAAATTTTATTTTCCTCACCACTCTATTTTATACAGAAATATTATTTATTATTTTAATTAATTAATTACTTAATTAATTTATTTTGGTACCAGGGATCGAATTCTGGACCTTGCACTTACAAGGCAGGCTGCAGAACCACTGAGCTAAATCCCCAGCCCTTTTTTTAAAAGTTTGAGACAAAGCATGATCCAGGTTATGCTACTCATTACGTTGCTGAATTCCATTATTGAGGTATTTTTAAAAATATAGTTTAAAAACAGTTCTGCTACCACATTCAACAAATATTTATGCATTAGCTCAAGGTGGGTTGTTGCTAACATATAAGAAAATTATATGCAATTATAAAACTTGTAATAAACATAAGCAGAACACCTACTACTTATACATTATCACTTAAGTGTATTAGCTGATCTCAAAAGCACTGACTTTTACTCAAACAGCAGTGATATTGTGTTCAATGTATTAGCTTCAGACAGTGCATATTAACTACAGACTACTGGAAATCTTTAT